GAGAGCTAAAAGGGAACAAAAAAGAGGAACAAGAAAAAAAAAGGGTGAAAAGAACGGGAGATCAGTTCCGGTTTATCCCGAAAAAACAAACATGAAAAACACTGCTAAAATGGATCTATATCTGATTTAAAAAATAAAAAATAAAAAATGTCGTAGGCCATCTTGAAAAATAGCCCGACTGTCAGGGAAAACGTACCGGGTGGCCATTTTGAGCGGTCATTTTTAAAGAAAAAGAAAAAGAAAAAAAGGGCTTCCTCCTTCCTATTTTTCGAAAAAACAGGACGCTAAACATGTTTTTTTTTGTTATTTGGCCTAACAGAAAAGACCCTAATGGCAAATCATGCATTTAATTGTTTTTTTTTTTCTTCAAACTGTAAACGTGTGTTGCAATTCTTCCCCCTAACATTCCTAACTTGAAAAAAAAATATTACGAATACGAATGACAGGTGTTAATTTGAATGATAAAAATTACGCTTCGACAAGTGAATATTAATTTGAATGCTAGTTGAGCAGTTTTTAAATTGAATGACAGATCTATAAAACCCTTCGACCAAAATCCTAAATTAAATACAAAAACTGGAAAATTGAATGATAATTGGCAAAGCAAAGCCGATCTACGTTAACTTAAATGCAAAGTAAATGAATTCGAATGACAAACGCGCGAATTTGGCCGGGAAATCCTATATAAGCTTTTCAATAATAGGTCCGTTACCATGAATAGGCGTCAATGACCATATAAGGCCAAGACTCATGCATCGTACGCTGTACCCGCGCGTGCCGTGTACAAAGGTTTTAAATGAGATCACAATTCGACGTACTCCCAAATAAAAATAAAAATCTCTGTTGCATCAAAATAAAATTATACGTTCATTGTACGTTATTGACAGAAGTTATATACATCGGACATTTACCTTAGCACAAAAGGGTTATCTATAGAAGAAGGTGGACAACATTATAAGAGAAAGAATAACGATTTCTCGTTTATTTATACAAAAATTAACAGCATAAATACCCCTACAAAAACAGAAGAAATCTTGAAGAGAGAGACAAGAAAAATATGAAAAGGACCCAACAAATAAAAATAAATAAATAATAGGATTCTAGAGCGAAAGATGATAGGGAAAACGTAATAGTTTGGTAGTATTGGCAAATTTTGACAATAATAGTGTGTAAGTATATTAACAAAGTATATACAAACAAAAACGACACAATATTTGAAAGCATTTTAGACCTACCGGTATATAGAATGATTATACGAAAAGAGTTATGTCTGAGGCCTATCTACATCTATGTTACGTAAGAGGAACAATGAACGTGGCCAAAGGTCGAGTTCGTTGTCATGGTTATAAACTCGAAAAATAGAAGGGCGAATTATGAGGTAGGTGCTTGCATGACCTTCTGCTCGTAACCGACAAGTCACCGCATTAAAATTAAATTGCAAATAGTGTTCAACAACACGATGGTGGATGAAACTTTCTAATATTCGAAGATATATGACCCTGAGACCATATTGTTTCATTATTTTTTATTCAATCAATCAACGTCAAAGAATTGATTTATCATCGCTCTTCAATTTATTATTTCACCTTTGTATGTACTTTCATTCTTATGCATTGATCACGAAAGAACACTGAATTGGATTATTCAATGTTTGTTTTGATTAATTTCCTCCCATTTCCTTCTCCCTATTTAACACTGATACAATTTTCGATTTTTCTTAATCAAGTCAAAATATTGTTTTCATATTTTCTTTATGCAAGACAGGGAGAGAGAGAGAGAGAGAATATGTTAAGTGAGAATTATCGAGTACAACCATGAATTCCCCTTTTCAATTTTATTCAATTCACTGAAAATATTCAGAATGTGAATATGGTAAATCCACATAATACACCAACGCTCCAACCATAGCCCATATGCCAATGCACCATATTTATCAAATATGAAAAGATTTTTAAATGAAATGTGAAGAAAAATCAAATGTACAATGCACTAACAGGCATCAGTTGAAATCATGAATTCTCTGTGACTGGCTTAGCACTAGTTTCTGAGGGACCAGTCACTGAAGAGGAGATAAAGGGAAGGAAAGTTAAGGAAGGAGTAAAGAAAAGAAGGTGGATATCAGTTGCAATTTTCCCGCCAACAAGAGCTAAAATGGACCAAAAAAAGAGGAAGAAGAAAAAAAAGGGTGAAAAGAATTTCGATGCGGTGTTCGAGAAGAATTCTGTGAGATGATGATATACTTTCTGACTCGTAGCTTGAAGTTTCTATATCCAGATATCTGTTGATAGTATTATAGAATATAGAAGCCTGAAATGACCTTCTGCTCGTAACCGACAAATCACCGCATTAAAATTAAATTGCAAATAGTGTTCAACAACACGATGGTGGATGAAGCTTTCTAATATTCGAAGATATATGACCCTGAGACCATATTGTTTCATTATTTTTTATTCAATCAATCAACGTCAAAGAATTGATTTATCATCGCTCTTCAATTTATTATTTCACCTTTGCATGTACTTTCATTCGTATGCATCACGAAAGAACACTGAATTGGATTCTTCAATGTTTGTTTTGATTAATTTCCTCCCCTTTCCTTCTCCCTGTTTAATACTGATACAATTTTCAATTTTTCTTAATCAAGGCAAAATAATATTTTCATATTTTCGTCTTCTTTCTCTACTGATTTAATGAAAAGTCAAAGCTTCCGCGCTTCGCGCGGACGGGGGTGGGGGGGGGGGGGGGGTAAATGAATTCAGACGAGGATTATTTTTCGAGAATGGTACAACGAAACGTCCCTGCAACATCTTTGCTGATCTTCTTCTCAATATTTATTTATTGGTCGAGTTACATTATTTGTTGTTCTTTTAGAACAATCATATTTCAGAGGATTCTTTTCACAACGAAAAACTTCTCCATGTTTCAGTCCTTGCGCGATCGTCTCCAGCTCCAGCAGATATTGTGCGTCAGTGTGCACATCGGTACTACCGCCGCAGTATAGCTATTGCTGACGGCCGCATTAGCTGCACTGCGAGCTTCCGTTGTTTGTATCGGTAATACATAGAGATGGGAGAGAAAGCGCCATCTATAAGTTCCAATTCATTGGTTTAAGGTTTGAAAATTGAAACTCATTTTGTGTTAAAGTTATATAAGAAAAGATAATATATATTTTATAATTCCACGGGGACGACTTTTAATTTTGCAATCGACCCCGTGGGCAACCTGACGGGGGCGATTATGGAGCTCACGGGGGCGAATTGCCCATCGCCCCCGTGTATTTTGGGCGCTGATAATGAGTAATATGAAAGTACAACAAACAGGAGCAATTGATAATGTTAGTTTATATTTTGCACGATTGGAGAAATAAAGTATCTTGAATCGTAATCTTGAATCTTGTGCAAGAGTATTGATTTATCTAAATAAGATTTCGTTTGTGATGTGAGCAAAATTAACGCAAATTTCTAAACGTATGTCAATCAATGATTTGTTACCTTCCTTCCATTACCCCCACCTAACAAAAAAAAAAAAAAAAAAACCGGATACACATTAGTATACTTGGGGAGGGAGGAAGAAAAAATAATGAGTGCAGTTTTCACATTTTAATGAGATTTATTGAATGGAAGAGTAAAATCAACCCAAATTTCTAAACGATAATAAACGATTTTTTATAATTCATTGCTTTCCTTTCATTATTCATCACCCTCCCCATCTAAATAATAATAATATGATGATGATGATTATGATGATAATAAGCCGGAGAAACACTAGCGTACGGGGGGAGGGGGGGGGGGCACGGGGCAGAATGCGGATAGGGAGGCAGACTGCACCCTAATGGGTGGCCAGTGAAGAAACAAAAGAGAGGGAGAAAGAGAGAAGGAGAAAAGAGAGAGAAAGAGAAGAGAGGGAGGAACAGAGATGAACAGGAGCAAGAGAAATATTTTCTTTGGAGAGGGCTTTATACCAAGTTCAAAGAAAAAAATATTTAAAACCTTCCGTAAAATGTGTTTTGCCTCTATGAGTTAAATGACAATGGAATAGCATAGTCTCCAAACAGGAATTCATGAATCAACTCTTTTTTTATGGCCAGCACGCAATTGTTTATACCGGCGAGAGAGAAAAAAAAACATAAGTCTTTATTTCCATGAATTGCTGGAGAAATAAATTTGAATGGGGCTCCCATAACCCGTGTGTCTAGATTGACACCTCCAAGTTACCTCCCCGAAAAAAATCTACTTTTTAAATATTCATTCGGTTATACATTGCGTCCCAGAAAAAACGAAACCGAGAAGTATCGATGTTTTATCATAACTTAATCACAACCATAATTAATGAATGATACATATTTGGAAAGCTAAGAGTCTCCTCTTTCAGTTGATGCTACTCAAATGATGCATATTTTACGCATGAGTGATTAAAAGCAATTTGAAGGAAGGAAACCAAAAAGACATTTGGCGGGCGGTATCTGAATTTCGAAGAAAAATTCAAATTTCTAGAAAGTTGAGTTTCTGCCCTTTCATATGACACCTCAATCAGGAAAAATGAGCGAGGAATAACAAAGTTCTGTTTGTTTAAATTAGCCCTTACATTTTCATAATTTTAACAAACGAATTCGTTTTCACTGGGTGCCTGCCGTAGCAAAAAGTAGATTTGACAAAAGACTTAACTCCGTTTCGTTGACAATCAGCCATGCATGAAGACTCTCGTCTACGGCTGATTGTCAACGAAACGGAGTTAAGTCTTTTGTTAATTTCGTTTATTAATACGGCGGGCAGCCAGTGAAAACGAATTCGTGGCTAATGAATATTCAAATACGATAATGAGGATGGTTGACCTCGCCTCGGCTAGCTATCCACCACGCATTTCCGATGCGTGATGTACATGTACGTGCACGTACGTACGCGCACGTCTATGAATGAGGTCCGATGAGGTCAATGGGGTGGAGACTAAAAAACTTTGTCATGAATATTCATTAATTTGATTCAAGATGGCTGACGTCTGAAGACAGTCAAGTGGAAGAGATAGTCTAATAACACTGTTTTTGAAGAAGATTTCATATGCAGAGGTCCAAGGTACATATTTTCTTAATGTTTATCATGTGTGGTTTAATTATAAATGCCAATTATATATGTTAGTGCATGCGATTCTTACAAAAAAAAAGGATTTAACTTAGCGTTAGGGCAGTAGAATACATTATACAAATAACGCACGTCCCAGAGTGCAATAGCGGTGAATGCAGTACGCGCGAGGTTTCTTTAGATTGGTGCCGCTCTGTGCAACGAGCCGCTTGCGGCGAGTTGACAGTGCGAACCATCTGAAGAAACCGAGCGTTTACTGCATTTACGTTTTGCACAACAGGGTCAAGTGCGTTATTTGTTTTATAAAATAGCGACACAAATAGCAAAAACGAAACTTTAGATCTAATAAGTTAGAGTCTACGAGAGTTCGATCTAGATCTAGATCTAGAGTTATGTTGGTTCTACGGTAATCGGTCAGCTCCGGTTTTCGGCCAATTGGTTGGATACATGGTAAAATCACTTTAAAATACATCGCATAATAGCATAACACATATCCCACACATACCATACCATGCCAGTGTCACTGAAGAACCACATTTGCAATGAAAAATATATCCTAAAATATCACATTTTAGCGATGTAATCGGCGGTCCCGCTACCCAAATCTGAAAAATCGAGTTTCTTACGCGTGTATGTAAGAAATATGGGTACCATAAAATGAGCTTTATTTCAAGTATTTTTCAGATATAGAGCCCGATTTTGTGCTGGTCGCAAGCTCAAAAGTATCTCATCGCATGTATTAAATCAATGCAGCCGCACACCGCGACGCACACACGATATGTCCGTCTAATTCAGATTCCAACTTCCGATCACCGCTGTGCCTGTATTCGGTCAGGCGAGCACCCGGGAGCTCCGGCGTGGGATACCTGCTCCGCCCGCGTGTGCTATACATCAGCGCAGAAACGCACGGCGCGCGCGAGCGCTTCCGATTGACTTTGTACATGCGGCCGTAAACTGAAACGCTCGGCCGATAACCGGCTCCAAAACAGTGAAAATTGAAATGAATATTGTCATGGCAATTCGTGATTTTTTTTGGGGATTCTTTTTTTGTTTAAATAATAATAATATTTGCTTCATGATTTGAACAAGAAATGATAATAAATAGGAAGTAAAGAGTCCAATAAATAGGATTTTGTCTTAAGTGGCCGAAAACCGGGTACTTTACTCTACTTCTAATTAGACTAAGACCTTGCAGGCTTACCAAAAAGTCAATGGGATTCATTGCCTTGATTAAAAATAAAATCCATACAGTGGGTCTAGAGACGAGTCTACATCAGACAGCTGAAATTCCTGGCTTCATTATAAAATCCAAAAGTCAAAACAGGCCTAAATCCAAGGCAAAAGTAAAATAAAAATTTGCTTTTTAATAATACCCCGCTGGCCGCTCTAGCTAGCTAGCTAGAGCTAGCTACGCGTACGTTGCGCTGGGGATCATGGTGGAGCGTACAATATTAGCTACGCGTAGCCTACAATAATTGCAATGCAACTCGAGGGAGCGCGTACTACACGTACGCACGCGCACTGGATCTCCATGGTCACGCGTACGCACCGTGCAATATAACTTTTTACTGCGCTTTTTCTGCACTCATTTCTGCAAAATCGTGCTTGCATCAAAATTTTTTCAATGTCATGTGACGCGTATTGACCAATCACGATGCTTAAAATACTAGAGCCATTTTATAAATCGTCTTAATCTTATCGTATACCGTAGGCATAGATCTAGTAGTAGTATCTTCAAGTTCAACGTTCGATGGCATAGATCTAGGCGATCGTTCAGTCTCTATGTCCGGAGGTCTAGTGGAGCCAGACGTAGTCTCAGTGGAACAACCGACGATATAGAGACTGAAGCTTTCGGTCTAGCCTAGATCTAGGTCTAGGCCAAGTCTACTGCAATTTGTCATAGCAAGTAGGGAAGCCCTAGGGCCATGGTCAATAGCAGGCAGGATCATGTCATTGTCATGTCTGATGTCAGGTAGAATGTAGATCTAAGTTACCGGTATATTGGCGATTGCATTAGCAGTACTAGGCTAGGCCTAGAGTGGATATTGTATAAAAATGACAGTGATGCATTATTCCATTAAGAAGAAAGTTCTTGTTTTTGTTAGGGCAGAGTTGGGCAAACCCGGACTTTAGTGCCCAGCTGAAAATCTCAGTTTATTATGGATTTAATATCAATAATATTAATTATGCTAATATATGCAAATATAAACATACCAAAACTTGATGATTTTTAATCATTTGACGTCATAAAAAGCAATTTTAAGCCAAAAATAGCAGCGAAGTAGGGGATCTCCTCTTTGCTTGATGCGAGATACTAGCGAACTGAAATAACCGAATAAAAACTATGGTGAACTAAAAAAAGAAAAGAAAAAATCAAACCACCTCTGAAATTACCTTTGAAATGTTTATTAATTTTTTCTTCCGATATGGGCACATGATAGGGGCAGGTTGGGATGGGATGGGGGGGGGGGTGCTCAATAGTCGCCAAATTTGGGGTAAAAGGGCAACTGGCCTTGGGGGGGGGGGGGGGGCTAAATTTATTATTTACTTATTTTTCTTTGTAATCATTTTTCTAATTTTTTTCCGGGGTGGCTCTTTTCTTTATTCTGCTTCTTCTTTCTTTCTCACCAGATATGCACGAAACATTGGGGGTTTGAAGAAAGATTAATAAAAAAAATAACCCTTAAATTTGGCGCCCCCATCAGGAAGGGGGGGGGGGGGTGTCATCTCTTCAAACCCCCAATGTTTCGTGCATATCTGGTGAGAAAGAAAGAAGAAGCAGAATAAAGAAAAGAGCCACCCCGGAAAAAAATTAGAAAAATGATTACAAAGAAAAATAAGTAAATAATAAATTTAGCCCCCCCCCCAAGGCCAGTTGCCCTTTTACCCCAAATTTGGCGACTATTGAGCACCCCCCCCCCCCATCCCATCCCAACCTGCCCCTATCATGTGCGCATATCGGAAGAAAAAATTAATAAACATTTCAAAGGTAATTTCAGAGGTGGTTTGATTTTTCTTTTCTTTTTTTAGTTCACCATAGTTTTTATTCGGTTAGAGTAAAGTACCCGGTTTTCGGCCACTTAAGACAAAATCCTATTTATTGGACTCTTTACTTCCTATTTATTATCATTTCTTGTTCAAATCATGAAGCAAATATTATTATTATTTAAACAAAAAAAGAATCCAAAAAAAAATCACGAATTGCCATGACAATATTCATTTCAATTTTCACTGTTTTGGAGCCGGTTATCGGCCGAGCGTTTCAGTTTACGGCCGCATGTACAAAGTCAATAGGAAGCGCTCGCGTGCGCCGTGCGTTTCTGCGCTGATGTATAGCACAAGCGGGCGGAGCAGGTATCCCACGCCGGAGCTCCCGGGTGCTCGCCTGACCGAATACAGGCACAGCGGTGATCGGAAGTTGGAATCTGAATTAGACAGACATATCGTGTGTGCGTCGCGGTGTGCGGCTGCATTGATTTAATACATGCGATGAGATACTTTTGAGCTTGCGACCAGTACAAAATCGGGCTCTATATCTGAAAAATACTTGAAATAAAGCTCATTTTATGGTACCCATATTTCTTACATACACGCGTAAGAAACTCGATTTTTCAGATTTGGGTAGCGGGACCGCCGATTACATCGCTAAAATGTGATATTTTAGGATATATTTTTCATTGCAAATGTGGTTCTTCAGTGACACTGGCATGGTATCGTATGTGTGGGATATGTGTTATGCTATTATGCGATGTATTTTAAAGTGATTTTACCATGTATCCAACCAATTGGCCGAAAACCGGAGCTGACCGATTACCGGGTACTTTATTACCGGGATAGCTTTATTTCAGTTCGCTAGTATCTCGCATCAAGCAAAGAGGAGATCCCCTACTTCGCTGCTATTTTTGGCTTAAAATAGCTTTTTATGACGTCAAATGATTAAAAATCATCAAGTTTTGGTATGTTTATATTTGCATATATTAGCATAATTAATATTATTGATATTAAATCCATAATAATTAAACTGAGATTTTCAGCTGGGCACTAAAGTCCGGGTTTGCCCAGAGTTGGAGCATTGGAAAGTAGGAGAACTGCCCGCGTACATGTCTCAGGGTCGTCTGGTCCGAATAGAGCGAGTGTCGACTGCAGCCTGTAGACTAGACCCTAGATGATAGATCATGAGATCTAGATCTAAGAGTATGCCCCTATGGTGGAGATTGTCGACCAGCTTCTAGCGATGATTCCCGAGTGGTAGATATTTGGCGATGAAGTGTGTGAATGTGAATGTGATGTCCTCCTCTTCCGCTTGGCACACTTGACAGCATCGGACCTGTCCGAACATCGTATAGATCTAGATCTAGAATCTAAACGACGTTCACAAAGGGAAACTGTACTGTAGAGTCTAGTCTAGATCTAGGTCTACTTTAGTTAAACAGCTTTAGATTCTAGATCTAGGTCTAGATCTAGACTATCTAGATCTATTTTAAACTAATCAGCTCTAGAGGTCTAGATCTAGGCCTAGTCGGAGTCCTAGATCTAGGGCCTAGGCATAGAGTCTAGATCTAGATAGACCTAGATCTACAAAACAAAGAATTTTATATTTTGTAAAAAGGCTGTCAGTCTCTGATAACCAAGGACTAGGCCTAGGGTCTAGACTAGTCTAGGCCTAATTTAATTTTAGTTACTGTACTAGATCCTAGGTCTAGAAATCGTAAGGAGTCTAGCTACTTACTTAGCGTTGCCCTTAAGACTTGAGTCAAGATCTAGTCTCAGTGGCATAGCCATAGGCCTACCCTAGTACTAGTACTAGTAGTACAGTACTGTCTCAGTACTGTCTCAGTACTGCTTCGCGGGTTATCCTGTTCAAGCTGACTTATTTTTGATCTGTTTTTATTGTATAGATCTAGACCCTAATTGTTGTATGTTTGAAGCTTGTCGAATAAAAATCAATCGATCAATCATGCCATGGCATGTCTGTACGGCTTTCATCGAAAGGGTGCGGTGCGGTGCGGCGCGGTGTGGTGTGCTCAACGCACCCATTCGATAAAAGAGGGGGGCCTTTTCTCGAAAGGGTGCGTTGAGAGCGGAGTACCGTTTTAACACACCCTTTCGATGAAAGCGGGGGGGCTTTTCTCGAAAGGGTGCGTCGACTAGTCTTTCGCATCAGTCGTTTAAAATGAGGATCTCGGACAGAAGGTAATAGTTGCCAATTTAAGTATATCGAAAATGTATTAAATAAAATGGAATGGTCTTGATTACAGAGTGGTCTCTTTCGTTATTACTATGTTGATGGGGGAGACAGAGAGAAGGTTAAGGGAAAGGGAAAGGGAAGATAAAAGGAAAGAAAGAAGAATATGAAGAGAAGAGGGAAACGGGGGGCGAAGGACTCTTGCCCCCCCCCCCCCCGCCAAAAAATAAATCAGAGAGAGAGAGAGAAGGGAAAGAGAAGATAAAAGGAAAGAAAGAAGAGGAAGAAGAAGAAAAGAGGGAAACGGGGGCAAAGGGCTTTTGCCTCCTCCCCCCCCCCCCCCGCCAACAAATAAATAGGAGAGAGAGAGAGAGAGAGAGAGAATGGAAAGGGAAAGGGAAAGAAAATATAAAAGGAAAGAAAGAAGAAGAAGAGGGAAATGGGGGAAGGGCAAAAGGCTCTTGCCTCCTCCCTCCCCCCCCCCCCCCGCCAAAAAAATAAATAAGAGAGAGAGAGAGATAAGGGAAAGGGAAAGAGAAGATAAAAAGGAAAGAAAGAAGAGGAAACAGAAAAAAGAGGGACACGGGGGCGAAGGGCTCTTCTTTTCTTCGCAGTTTTTCTCTCATGACTTTTTTCTTTCGAGTCTTACGCATCTTTTGAAACATTTTTTTGTTGAAAATCGGACGTATAATTGCGGAGTCACGTGACCTTTTGTTTTTGCATGTCAGCCCTAAAATCGCTCAATTTTGTGATTTATGTACCAAACATATGGAAATACCATTTATTCTTTTTAAAAAAGAGAAAACATTGGTTATTTGGTCTTGTTTCAAGTTAATGTGTTTGATTTTGGGTAAAAATAGTTGAATTGTGGTTAGAAATGAAATAAAAATAACAAAATAATATAAAACATTAATACAAATTATCAAAACAAGAGATAACATAGGGATAAACTGGCTCTTCCAACTTTGTTGTCGTATTATCATTTTAACGAATATATGAAGTGAAAAAGAACGCTCGAATATGAATTATATATGATTTATGGGTAAAAATGTGAATTCTCTGACCTTGTTTGCATAAATTACCATAAATATGCATTTTCGCGGCGATCGGCTGTGAAACGGCCGAGATCTTAGGGGGGACCCCCCCCCCCCTCCCCAACCTCAAGTTCACTCCAATCACATTGAAAAAAAGTATGACTTAAATTATCTCTCTCATCATTATACCGCTATAGTATTCATGTTTTTAATATTATTTATTGTCCATTAAACAAGTTCATAGAGAAAATACTTATCTCTCTGCAACATTAAAAAAGAATCTTCATTAATATGTCTTAATTTGTATTGATAGCCTGGTGGTCACCAACAGTGGCGTAGGCAGGGGCGTCTCCAAAGGGGGGTGTGGGGGTGCGACACCCCCCCCCCCCCCCACCTGTCAGGATATTGTCGGTAAAATTGCGCTGCCGTCGGGAAAAAGAGAAAAGGGGGAGGGGAAAAAAGAGAGTAAAAGGGAAAGAAAAGAAAAAAAGAAAAAGAAAAGAAAAAAAGAAAAAAATAAAGAAAGGAAAGAAAAGAGAAGAAAGAAAAGAAAGAAAGAGAAAAACGAAAAAGAGGGAGAATAGGAAAAAAAGGAGGCAAGAGCCCTTCGCCCCCGTTTCCCTCTTTTCTTATTCTTTTTCCTCTTCTTTTTTTCCTTTTATCTTCTCTTTCCCTTTCCTTCTCTCTCTCTCTCTCTTATTTATTTTTTGGCGGGGGGGGGGGGGGGGAGGGAGGAGGCAAGAGCCCTTCGCCCCCGTTTCCCTCTTTTCTTCTTATTCTTCTTCCTCTTCTTTCTTTCCTTTTAGATTTTCTTTCCCTCTCCCTTCTCTCTCTCTCTCTCTCTGTTATTTATTTTTTTGGCGGGAGGTGGGGGGGGGGGGGAGGTAAGAACCTTTCGCCCTTCCTCCGTATCCATCTTTCCTTCTTCTTCTTCTTTCTTTCCTTTTATATTGTCTTTCCCTTTCTCTTCTCTCTCTCTCTCTCTCTCTCTCTCCTAATTATTTGTTGGCGGGGGGGGGGGGGAGGAGGCATGCAAGAGCCCTTCGCCCCCGTTTCCCTCTTTTCTTTTTATTCTTCTTCCTCTTCTTTCTTTCCTTTTATATTCTCTTTCCATTTCCCTTTTCCTTCTCTCTCTCTCTCTCTCTCTCTCTCCCTTTCGCCCTTCCCCCGTTCTTTCCTTCTTCTTCTTCTTTCTTTCCTTTCATATTTTCTTTCCCTTTCCCTTTCCCTTCTCTCTATCTCTTTCTCTCTCTCTACTATTTATTTGTTGGTGGGGGGGGGGGGGAGGAGGCAAAAGCCCTTTGCCCCCGTTTCCCTCTTTTCTTCTTCTTCCTCTTCTTTCTTTCCTTTTATCTTCTCTTTCCCTTCTCTCTCTCTCTGATTTATTTTTTGGCGGGGGGGGGGCAAGAGTCCTTCGCCCCCCGTTTCCCTCTTCTCTTCTTATTCTTCTTTCTTTCCTTTTATCTTCCCTTTCCCTTTCCCTTAACCTTCTCTCTGTCTCCCCCATCAACATAGTAATAACGAAAGAGACCACTCTGTAATCAAGACCATTCCATTTTATTTAATACATTTTCGATATACTTAAATTGGCAACTATTACCTTCTGTCCGAGATCCTCATTTTAAACGACTGATGCGAAAGACTAGTCGACGCACCCTTTCGAGAAAAGCCCCCCCGCTTTCATCGAAAGGGTGTGTTAAAACGGTACTCCGCTCTCAACGCACCCTTTCGAGAAAAGGCCCCCCTCTTTTATCGAATGGGTGCGTTGAGCACACCACACCGCGCCGCACCGCACCGCACCCTTTCGATGAAAGCCTGTCTGTACTGCTATGTAGGCCCCAGGGCCACGCCCAGGTTGATTCCTGGTGTAGGCCTAGAGTCTATGGAGAGAGCGAGAGAAATGGGTTGGGGGAGGGGTGGGGGTCCAAGATCAGTGGCCATGTACTGTATGATGTATTTGATTTCATTCACTGAGTAAGATGCTACTACTAGGCCTAGATCTAAGCTTTTAAGTTCTAAGTTAGTTTGCTGTAGAGCTAGATTTAGATCTCACTTTCCATGATAATAATAATAATTTAAGATTTATATAGCAACATATCTGCCTAGATCTATATAATGACACTCGAGGCGCACAAAAAGATTCACTAGAACATTTCAAATACAAACAATAAACAAATTAAAATTAACAAACTAGTCGATCTAGATCTAGGCCTAATATTATAAATCAACAAATCAAAGGACAAATGCACATTACAGATTCAGTAAGAAATCAAAATGACAACAAGTATGTTCATGAGAGTTGATCATATATTTCCTTCATAAGGTAGGTCTTCAGATTCTTGTAGAATATTTCAATTGTTCTGCTTGACTTAATCATAATGTATGAAGGGGGGTGCATTCCGCAAACGCAGGGCTAGTTCAGAGAAAGACCTGTCGCCCCAAGACCGCCTCGTTCAAGCTTGCTGGAACTGGTGGATATTCCCCGAACACAGACCAGGTCTAGAAGATCTCTTCTCCAGTAGATCAAAAGGACCAGTCCAGATCTACTGTAGATGTGGACCCCTTGATTTCTCTAGATTACTAGATCTACTCTGCAACAATTTTAGATCTAGAATCTAGAGTTAATATTTGATTGAGGTTGATCTCGGAGACTCTGTTTTTTCCCTCAAATTTCTGAATATTTTACAGCTGTCTACATTCTCACATGGCTAAGAGTTTACACACATCAACACGACAGACAGAATCAAGATGGATAGTTTGAAGTTGAAAGATCTGTTAATAGAAGTAGTAGAAGAACTGAAGATTGCCAGAGTAAGTTTAGATATCAAGCAATTTCCTCATTTTTAGATCTTGATATATTACCATTATGAATTATACTATCTTTGTTCATCTTATAATTTTCCAGTGCCCATGACAGACATAGATTAAAATCTAGTCTAATAATCAAGTTAAATCTCTATCTTTATCTAGACTGGAACCTGAAGATTCAGAATAAGTAGTGGGATGTGAATATGTTTGATACATTCAAATGAAATAACAACAGTTGAATGTAAGATTGTTTCCCAGGAAAGTTGGAATAGACGTACAGTATGATCACATTCTTGGCCTTTAAAAAAATCAACCAACTGCAGGCGTACGATCTGAGAAAATTTATGTTGCGATGTGCACAAATTCTATCGACGTTTAACATAGGCTAATCCGAGATTCCAAACATGGTTTCTATTCTAATATTGCCTAATAATAGGCTAGAAAATTTTAAGCTAACTATGTGGACTCCTACTCCTAGTCTATGTGATCATGTTGTATGCATGGAGTGTTCAGTCTATCTTATTTTTTATTCCAACATACAGATAACAGTGGCTGAGAACGAAGATCGTATTCAACAACTTGTGAAAGAATGCCATAACAAAGAGAGGAAATTGGTAAGAATGAGACATATTCTGATATGAATATTCCTGAACTAATGACAAAGTAAGCCAGGTTCAGATATTCACAAAACATCAATTCCTCTACTCTGAATTAAAAGAACCCGAGACTCTGTGCGTGTTGTCCGTATTTTACTGATTCAATTAAACCCGATGCAACGCAGGCGCGGATCCAGGATTTCTTAGGGGAGGGGGCCCAATTTTTTTTTTTTTTTTTTGCTCCCGAAAATTCGAAAATCGCGCCGGCCGAAAAGTCGCTCAGTGGGGGGGGGGGGGGGGGGGGGGGGGGGGGTACAGAGCACAATTTTTTTTTTTTTTTTTTTTGCTCCCGAAAATTTGAAAAACGCGCCGGCCAAAAATTCGCTCAGTGGGGGGGGGGGGGGGGGGGGGGGGGGGGGGGGGGGGGGGTAGTGAGCACATTTTTTTTTTTTTAGATCCTCAAAAAAAAATTCAATTTGCACCCCCCCCCCCCCCCCCTTGAGCGCCAGGGGGGGGGGGGCCCAACCCACAAAAAAGGTAAAAAATCACATGATTTTACATGATTTTTTCTCAAGGGGGGGCCGGGCCCCCCCCCCCCCCCCCCCCCCTGGATCCGCCACTGATGCAACGATATAGTCATGTTGAGCAAAGAGACAACTTCGACTTCGGGTTAAATTCCTTCATAAACTCAACATAATTAGACCGGGATTGAACTCGGTGTTGGGTTTGAGTTTTAGTAGATTACTGACCTGTATGGCGATTAGCTCTGAAAATACATCAGGGCCCCGTCTTATAAAAAGCTTCGATTAATATCAATCGCAACTATGTAAATGAGAGATGGGGACTGCACACTTGCGTTTGATTTGGAACTCTTCATAAGACGGGGGCCACATAAGCTCAACTTTGTAATTAAACGTTCACATCGAACAAAAGCGAATGAGATGCAATTTAAATAAAAACATTGTTGATTTTGTATATGACGAGTGTACATTATATGTGTATTAACTATCAAATTTACTGCTGCTAATATGTTCAGTCAATCAAATTTGTAACAACTCTGTTCATGCAGCGTGTCTGGGAAGGAATTTAATAGCATGTCTCTGACAAAGCTATAGTTCGAGCAATGCAATGTTGTTGGGGGAGGGGGTGGGGGGGGGGGTACCCAGGCAACTTTTTGATATTTTACCTAACAGAGTGACAGCCATGAACGATTTCTTTTTGACAAATTAGTTTGGAATGGTTTGTTTTACCTGACTGCTAAGAAAGCATGTGTATGCTGGTTAGTAAGCAACCAAGGGAACGATGGCGTTAATAGTCTTCTCCGAGGGACGTGGTACTGAGGATTAATGCCTTATAGTTAGATACACAGACGGTTCCAACAGGGAAATGGTGTACACCTTTAAAAAAAAATGCATATTACAAAGTAAAATGTAATGCTACCGAAGCTGTAGTAAAGATAATGATAGCCACAACTCTTTGGAAGCGCGTATGGACGCTAAACACTCCCCCCTCCCCTTCTCTCCCGATGCCACTGATGACTGACCAATGTTTATCTCTCATTGAAGGAAGAGGAAGCTCTTGAGACACAGTCACTCAAAGACAAACATGAAGAGACTGAGAATATTTTAAGTAAGGCTTCGGATGATAAGATCAAACACCTCGAGACTGAGAAGGTAAGAATTTATAAGTAATAATCTGTCTGATCCGTGGAGTTTTTCAACTTTTTTTTTCCAACTTTTTTTTTTTTTTTTTTTTTGGGGGGGGGGGGGGGTAATCACTTTCGTCGCTCTGTTATTCAATGAAACTAGATATATATTTTCAACAGAGCATACCCCTGAACCAAACATATTTATTTGTCGATCCTGAAGGAAACAGTGATAACTTTTAAGGAGCACCGTAATTGTATTCATTCATAAGCTCCTTCAGAACTCGCCTCTTTATGTTCGTTCTCTCACTACTGTCATAAAGCACACAAAATCTTTGTCATATATCTCTATTCATCAACTTAAAAAATAAATAGTTTAACGCAAAATTCAAACAGCAATTAACAAATAATGATGATATTTTGTCACATAATAGAAAAGTCATGTTTCATTGTAAGAGTTAATTAGAAAACCTAACTACACCTATACATCTAGAAAATGGTACTCCTTACAATTTCTCTTCATTTCTCTCAGGCTAAACTCCAGTTGGCTGTAGAGAGTTGGGAAAAGGAAATGAAAACTATGAAAGAAGAAGTCCGAACTTTGCAGGTAAGGCCAAACTATATTTCTGTTACAGGTAACTATTGATGGCACTGTGAGCCAAATTCAAGCAAAGATCACAGTTATTTGAAATTAGTTATAAATGTTTAAATGAATTGTCCAATTTGAACGAAGTTCAAGGTAAAATTCACAAGTGTTTTTATCAGGTTAAAGTATAAATTCTGATTATTAAACCAAAAATCAATTCCAGTGTTCATAAACATGGTCATGCATATATTAGTTTAATAACCAATCAAATGAAGGCAGGTAGCTCAGTCGGTAGAGCAGTGATCTCGTAATCCGGTGACCCGGGTTCGAAACCAAGTCGATGCGCTAGTGCCCTTTGGTAGGGCATTAATCCTCATTACCAGATCCCTCGGAGATGACCTAAAGCCGTCGGCCGTCTAGTTGCTTACTTACATTTATGCTTTCTTAGCAGTCAGGTAAAATAACTATCACCACATATAGAGTCATTGATGAGAAGGTGCTACAACCTGCAAAACAGTACACATTACTGGCAGCCCGGCGAGATCGACCGACAGCTCATTGCCACGAGACTGAAATGTCGGCCCTTCTGACAACTTTTCTGAGGGCTCACACGATCAAGCTTGTCGGCCTCATGGGCTGTCGGTCTCTCGGGCTATCAGTCTCGTGCGCTGTCGGTCTTTTGGTCATTTGGTCTTCCAGGCTGGAGGCATAATGGGGTGTCCCTGTGACTAAGCATTCTTTATAGGAATCATAAGTTCTCATATTACATTTCTATGCTATGTTTGCCATCGTCTCTATGCGCTTCCAAAGAGCTTTGGTTTTATTATCCCGGCTCAGCCTAGCCTAGCTGCCTTAATGAAGCTACTGAAACTTCAAGGAATCAATTCCTACTAGGGGTTGTTTCACAAAGATCCTAAGTCGAACTTAACTCTTAGTTTGACCTAAACATAATGGAGAGCCATTTGCAACCTTGAAATAAAAAATATGCAAAAGCGAAAATTCAGGTATTTTAGACTTTTTATGAATTCCACATCGAGAACATGAAATCTCCTTGATAATAGAAAATATATATGATTTGAATCAACATTTTATGACTTTTAAAATCACTTTTACAAAATATTTTCATAAATGCTTACGTCTTTCCATAATTGTTAAGTCCAACTTAGAGGATAAGTTCAACTTAGGATCTTTGTGAAACACCCCCCCCCGTATCTTTTCACTTCGCCGGAATCAATTGTGGCAAATACATACCAATCTCTTGCCAAAGTACTGTAGCAGGGATTCGAAACCATATATATCCACAGCATCGGTTCAATACTTCCTATACCTTATGATTTTGACCCAGCTATCCAAGTACAACCTCGAGAGGACAGTGCGGGAGCAGCACCATAGACTCCAAACCCAGGGTCAGATCAAGACCTCAAATTCTGAGCAGGTGGCAGATATTGAGAACAGATGCAAGCATCTTCAAAAGGAGATGGCGTCTTATAGCGATGCACTCAATATCCTCAAAAAGGAAGGTAATTAACATAAAACAAGCAACTATATGTTTTAAAAATTTCATCTCGAGGATAATGTTTATGATGACAATTTAGGACGTTGAAAATATCAACCAAAGGCAGTTTTAATAGCCTTGTGCGGCACCTATAAATGTGTAAACATAACAATGAGATGCATCACATAATCGTAACATGATTTATTTAGGCAATATCATTTCTTGACAGTCTTTGTTTGCACGTGTTGAAGGTATATCAGCTTTAGTCTAGGTTTAAGCAGTTCTGCCTAAGTGAGTTCAGTTGTACTATAATTAGTCTGTCTGCAGATTTATATAGTACTATTATATCAACCTCTTCACCACTTGAACAAAGTTTTGTAACAAATATACACAACTTAATTTATTTTTTCTTCATTTCCTTGTTGTGACTCTCCCTCATTCCATCTTTTAATATCAATTTTGTCACAGAGTAGTCTATTTAGAAAGCTTGATGCACCATGAATCAGCAGAATTTATTCCGTCTTCTTTTCTAAAAATATATAGAACAAGTAATGTGAACACGAAGTTTTAGTCTAGAATTTGGCAAATTGTATGATTGAAGGCTAATCAAATTCTCTAGATTTTTTTGGTTGGATTGATCAGTCTAATGCAACCTCTCAACATGACGAAGAGAGAGAGAAAGAGAGAGCAAAAGAGGATGAGGGCGCGAGGGAGATTTCCTAACGTCTCATCCGCAATGCCCTTTGATCCATTGAATAGTGACTGAAGCTGGTGTATTGAATAGGATGTTAGCATCGACCAACAGTCATCAGAAGTGTCAGATATCATCACTGAGAGATGAGCTGGAGAAGAAACAGCAAGACATAATGAAGCTGCGTGTTCATGTCACTGAAATGCCAGACAGCGCTAGCGACCAGAGGGAGATGACTGAACTGAGGATAGAACAGCTGAATAAAGAATTGAAACAGGTAAAAAGGTTGTGTCTATCTTTTAACAGGGGTAGATCCGGCCATGCGGGGGGGGGGGGGGAGGGCATAATTCAGATAAATGACAGAACAAGATTATAATTTTTTTTTCTGTTTGGTGATTTGCATTGTAAAACTGAGAGAAAGAGAACAAAAATTAGTAACCAGATGTTTATCTGGAGCCTTTTGGGCTAAAATGTTGAGGGGTCACAATTTTTGTGTGTGGTGTACTTAAAGGTAAGACCAATTTTGGAAACGCCCCCCTCTCAAAAAATGAAATGGAAGGTCTTATTACCAATCATGTGAAAGAATATGTTTTGACTAATTCGTGATGATACAAATTTTGCCGAGAAACCGCCTACTAATTGATATATTTGGTAAATTATTATATCTATTTGGACCTGATAGATATCGCGCACGTGTCCCGTGGTCCCATAAACATCTTTCTGTGTACAGTGCTTGTATCTTTACCAGTACTGGGCCAAATTTCTTATCATTTTGATGATTCCGGAACCTTGCAGTACACACCAATACTTATATAAGCTACAGTGTAGATGATCAACCTTTTCTGATCGATTCCACAACGTTTCTTTCACAATGCAATCGCATATATGACCATAACTGGTTCCATATCTTTAAAGTATGCCACATTCACTTTAAGGGGACATATGTCAGTTGTGCCTAATCCCTTAGTCTGCAACTGCCTTTGATAAACAATAATCATTAGATGTCTGATTAAGTAACGTCTATATTGAAAACCACATCGTGTTTTCTTTTTATTTTGTCCATCCACAGGTGGCACAAATAAATCAAGATTTGAAGAGTCAGCTTGAGGAAACTAGACTAGCTCATCAGGTACGTACTTGCATACACTTAGCTTGCTACAAATTAATCAGAGTTGCTCCACTATCTATCTTTAGTATCTTCTCCGGTTCGGAGGTTGATTGCAACATCTCTCCATTTCACTATATCTTCTGCCATTCTGGTGCACTCTTGCAGTTTTAGTCCACTCCAGTTCTTGACATTCTCTTCCCAGTTGATTCTGGGTCTTCCTCTAGGTCTACTTCCTTCAACTCTTCCTTCCAATACATCCTTTAATAGGCTTTGGTGCCTTTTAACATGACCGAATTATTTTATTTTTCTCTCCTTAGTTGCTCCACACTATCATTGAAATATGACAGTAATCATCATTTGGACAGCCTTATATAACTGTCCAAACAAATTGAATAAGATCCATTCTTCATTCTTGTTTTTTTAAATTTAAATTAAGTATTGGGGAGACATGTGAGGTAGGGGCAGGGGCTTCTCAAGACATTTCGATCAGGAGTGCCAGACCAATTTTGGTTTAAATTTAACAACTGACTAAAAACAAACCTATCAATTTCGGCAGTATGAAAAGAAAAATATATATATATATCCATAGCGACAAAACATTTTTTTATGGAAGGGGGGTCGAACATTCATAACCATATGGAAACATTTGCTTGTATTTGTCTCATAAAAGAAGTTGACCGTAAACTGAATCCCACACGGTGTTGAGTGCTCAGGGGTAACGAGCCACTGGCTTCATCGGGGAGGTAGTTCCATTATGTGAATGGGTAAATTAACTATTACGAAATGAGGGGACACATTACATTGTGCAATAGGGACACACATTTTTTTTTTATTGTGCAGATCATACTTTTTTATTGACTTGAAACTATAAAACCAAAATGCTTTTTGTATTCTAACAATTGGAGTACAAACAATAATAACAGGTGAATGAAATGTATAAACACCACAAACACCTGGGGAGGAAGCATTCATAAATGTGAATAATTTAGTTGGTAAACGACTCCGATAAAACTATAAAACCAAAATGTAATTTGCGTTCTGTCAATTGGAGTACAAAGAAAGATAGCAAGTGAATGAAATGCTTCAACAACACAAACACCTGGGAAGGAAGCATCCATGAATTTGAATAATTTAGTTGATAAACGACCATGCATGTGGACGTTTGGTGGACCAGTGAGCAGTTGATTCTTAACAACACGAGCCCATTTAAGAAAATCTTTCTACCCCTGCGGCTTTAATGGTACGTTCCAGTAAATTAAATCAGTAAAATGGCTCTTGTTTTAAAATTACTCATTAAATAAAACCCAAAACTGCAGTGATATCAGACAAAATATGTTATATCTTACTAATAATTAAAAAAAGATTTATAAACATTGTGAAAGTGTAGCATTTTACGATAAAAGACACCGATTTAGCGAAGAAGACGTCATTAGTGCGCTTGCATCAGGGAATTCAAGGTCAAAAGGTCAATTCAGACGCTGATAAGTTATTGGACAAGCCTTTTTGTTTGCTTTATTCCGACATAATTATACAATCAATCAAAACAAGTTTAATACCAGAAGAAAGCTAACGATTAGTATTTTCATTAACCGCTTGCCCCAAAGTCGCTTGACCACAGTGAAACGAGTGAGAGCTTGCGAGAGCGGCCAAAGTGTGATTGAAACTCGCTATTTGCTCTTCTCCAACGCAAAAAGAGACGACATTGTGCTGGATAAATGTATTTTTCCGACAAAAGTACAGACAATTTTCATATGGTCTTTTTATAGTATACTTTATGAAATGTTACCCGAATGACTTCCGGGCGCCCCAATGTTTGAAAGAAACGCACATTTTAGAAAACTTCACTTTTTCATGGAAAAATGTGTATTTGTTTTATGCACGCAAGTCAGATTGAGCGGATGATACAACGTTTCCATATGCCCTTCAAGTGTGAGACTTTCGTTTGATATTATGGTATCTCTTCTCCCAGGAGCCTCAATCAAACGTGTATCAAAAAAATAAATCAAATAAAAATAAATCAAATCAAATCAAATTATCTGGCATATAGGTGACTCGAGCACAGCTGCAAGAATCGCAAGACCTCGCACAACGGTGCATGGCATCCACCAAAACACTGACAGAGAGGGCTACCCAGCAAGAAGCACAGGTAACAGCACTCACAAAAGAATGCGCTTTGGTGTCGGAGCAACACACAAAAGCAGAGACAGAAGTCGCTGGACTACACCACGAAATGGATGGTTGGGAGGCAAAGAGAAAAGCTGATGTAAATATTATAAACAAACATTATTTTAAAGCCCCACTGTACTACTTACAGCTACTTGCGCCCTCTATATAGCAAACAATGCCTAATCGGTGCCTGTTAGTCCCCATGATCCCCTTTTTTTATGTTAATTGAGAGCTGATTTGATGAGATAACCACCTGTCAGTGACCTTGCAGGGAGGTCTAATCCCCTGGTCAAACTAGTACAGACGGGCTTTAAGTTACTTTGAGAGGGAGCTGATACTTTCCAAGTTATATTAGGCTCTCTGTAGAATTATCAAATTCTTCATTTCAAGGAACTGATTTGACTTTATTCGTTGGTTTTGTTTAATAATCTGCAATTGTGTTGAAACATATAATTTAATGCACATGAATGTGAAACTGATGCAGTTATTATTATTTATTTTTTTAAAACATGATTTTATTCCTTTTACCTGTTTGCCTTGCCCTTCCCAAACCTGCAGCTCCTTATTCTGGAAGAGGAAACAGAGAAAGTAAAGAACCAATGCAGTAATCTTAAGAAAACCGTACAAAATCTGGAGGATATCAACACTAGTTGGGCGTCCAAAAATCAGGCCATGAAAAAGGATATGCAAGATTTAAAGGTATACTAAAGCAATATGTGCAAGTTGAAGAGAAAGTAAGATTATCATTTCTACAATACTTTAGTTATTTGAATAATATACAAAATATACAAAATATAAATTCATATGGAGTGAGTAAATGTGAGGAAAAAGATTACATTTCACATATTTACAAGAAAATAGTCATAAGCATAAGTTAACTGGTGCTTAGAAAATAGGAGAAAGATGTATTATTTTTGTCTATCTCTCTATGAATATATCAAATAATAGTCCAAATTTGTGTAAGATAGGATGAAAGAGCAACAAATATGATATGTGAAAAAATGACTTGGGTACACATGCACCAGGGTGTACACAGGGACAATACTCTTAATGTCTCTAGAAGGTAACTTGATTTAAACCATAGTTCATGTAGTTGGGGTTAAATATGATATTTATGGAATGTTTACATTCTTGACTGAAAACCATTAGAAAAGGGGTCGTAACCAACACAGAGCTCTAAATAGCATCTTACGATTATTGAATGTTGTACATGTATGCCCCCTTTGTTTTGTTGCTTTAAATGTGATGTATTTTGGGTTTAATTATTTCTGAAACTTTATGGTTTGCCTTTTCAGTTAAAGGTGCGCTTACTCCCTGACAGTGCAGTACATATTGATCTCTTAAAATACAGATGGAGCTCGACACCCAGTCTGCAGAATTGGACCAGTTGAAGCTCCCGATTTGCAAGTGTGACAGAGATACCCAGACTCGCTCAAGCACCAACAGCGATAATTGTTACGCAAGTACTACCATGACAGACAGAAATGAATGTGCCTCAATCCTGGCTGTTGAGGAATTAACTCCAGAATCAGTCAAGGTTGAGGATACACAGACGGTGAGGCAGAGCAAAACTCAGGACTTTCAAGTGGAAGGACAGCAGGAAGTGCATCAAGGAGAGGAAAGGAACAGCCTCATCCAAGAAGCGGATACTGCCCACGCAACACCTTCCACTTCAGCTCGTGGTAATTTGCAAGAGACCATGGTGTGCAGCCTCAAGGATGAAACGGCGCGAGGTACAAGAGATCATATGAATGAGCAGAGGACAGAGGAACAGTCCTTAGATAACTTCAAAGACAACATTCCTATTGAGGATTTGCCGGTGGAAGTAGCAATTGTGGCGGAGCAGATCCAGAAGTGTAAAGGCGAAGGAGATACCTTACAGGATGTGTCAGCGGGTGAAGAAATCAGTCAGAACCAATTGCGGAGTATCGTTGTTACAGGCCCTTCGAATATGCCAGGACATTCGTCTGACGAGTTGAGCTTGAATCATCAGAAGGACACTCAACCAAAAAGAGTTGGGACAGGACAAAGTGCTGATGCATTCGATACCTTGACTACGACATTGACGACTTTGAACACGATCTCATTGAAGACATACAGTGGAAGTTTGGAAGTCCCTGCCAAGGCAAACTATATTACGACTTCTCAAGCACGTTTGGGTAACCAACAACTACCAGCTGAGCTAGGCAACAATCCAGGAAGAATCATACCACTGGACAAGGAAGAAACATCACCTCCTGTACAGGAAAGCAAAACATCACCCGAGACGTACACTGATAATGAACCTGATGCTTGTGTAGGTAAAGCTGAAGAGGCACGATCCCACAGTGTAGTATTAGATGTATTTGGGAATCAAAATCAAGTTGACGCATACGATGAAGACATCGTGATTCCCCGTACCTACGTTGAAGAAAATTCCAGTCGTTGCAGAGGTGAAGAAAAAGGAGAACTGCAAGAACGTGAGCCAGTAGAATGTGACAGTGTTGCGCATGCTCATGAGGCAAATGTATTTCACGAGGTAGGGAAAGACAGGTTGCCAGGAGGTGCAGGAACTAGACAGGGAGAGATTGGGTTGTCTTTAGAGAGTGGCCAGGTCAGTCTGAAGAGTGACAACATAGAAGCCTCAAAGACATTGCCAGTTTTTATCCTATCCACAGAAACGATACCAGGTAATAGCAAGTTTATTCCAACATCGAAACTGATGGGGATTTCTGTAACATCTGAAGAACCTTCTACACCAAAAGACATAAGTAAGAGAGGCACATTGGCAAAGAGTGCCCTTTCTGAAACTGATGGTACAGAGACTTTGCCTCAAGAGGAAAATGGTCCTCAAGATATTAATAGTTCACAGTCTTGTTATGATTCCACAGATAGGAAGGAAAGACCTTTGTCAGCAACGAATCTCTGTGAACCAGGCAACTACAACATCTTGAGGAAGAAAGGAGAATCCTCTCCTCTGACTACCAAGCCTACGTTTTTTCAGACGCCCAAGCGAAAGCACGCACCTTCCTTGCATCAGGTGTCCAGTCCTCCATTTGTTCCCAAACCACCTACATTTGTGCCTGACATATCTGCATTTTCTTACATGTCAAACTCTGAACCATTGTCCTCTTTACGCAACATCGATGACCGTCAAAAGCACCCTCTAGCTAAGACAAAGTCCACGTGGTCGTCTCCTAGCGTGAAGAAGAGTAGTGAGTTTGGAAGTGCAAAGTCATACTCTTCTTGGAAGACCCTTGATCAGCTGAGAATGCAGCCACATCAGCATCAGAGCAACCAAACAACGAGAATGCCCGTGAGGTTCTCCCACCTTCCACCATCAGCCCAGCAACTTCACCAATCCCTCTGCCACACCACATCCTCGCCAACCTTGACATCGTCACCTACCATTCATCATCCGACAAGTAATTTGACTGCTCAACAGTCAACAGATCCGCCGAGACCTCTTGGCCTTTCGGAAGACAGTATCCTCGAGACATCAACAACTCGGGCTAAAGAAATCCACAGCGTCATGCCAAGACTAACGCATGGAAGATCAATCATTGACAGCAGCTCTGGAAGAGACGATCACAGCCACTTCCAAGAGAAAATATCATCTACAACAAAACAGGTATATTTATATAATTTTGCCACCTCCTAAATTTTCTTGAAATTTGTATGCAGGATATCCTGTTTAAATAAACTAATTTTCACTCTTCGCTTTCAAAAGAAAGGGGACGAATTATGCTGGATATGCCTGTGCTGTGGACAGATCACAAGGTCCTCTCCTCGTATCTGTTGATATGAGTGTTGGTAGTCACTTCACTGCCGATTTAGCTTTCTAATTAAAAAATGTACCCATCTACCGATTATCTGTCACAACCTGCAGGCATGACTTTAGTCTATGACCACCTTTGAATACAAATAGTTCGACGTTATATTTCATTTGCATGATCTGAGAATGTTGTATCAACGTGTGATTGGTTTTTAACAACGTGAATATGAGATGATAATTCTCACTGTGGACTATATACAAAAAACGTTTTTTAATTTATAAAAAAAAAAGATGTATTATGGAAATCGAAATTAACCAGAAGTACAATTTGGATAAAGATAAGTTACCGTACTATACCTGAAGTGACAAACTTTCATTTCTCCTCGATCCCATTCTCCTTTACACCATCTGCAATTCTTAAAAGCCCCACTGTCCTACTTGTAGCTACTTGCTCCCTCTATATAGAAAACAATGCCTAATCGGTGACCATTGGTCCCCCATGATCCTCTTTTCTTATGTTAATCATGGAGTTACTAGCTCCATGTGTTAATTGAAAGCTAAGTTGATGAGATAGCCACCTGCCATTGACCACGCTGTGTGGTCTAATCCCTCCTGGCCAAACTAGCACAGCCTGCCTTTAAACGTCTTGTTATGTCCTCGGCCTTCCAGGTAACTGAGTCAAATCCAACCAGTCCGAAGTACCCTCCTGTACCAGTCAACCTCGCGACGAGGCGGCTGCCTCCCCGCTCGGACCAAGATCGTGAAGGTGCTGCAGGGGATGCAGGCGGAGATGCAAGTCTCTTCTCCGACGACGAATGCGAGGAAGACATGAAAGATGGCGTGGCCAGCCAGATCGATCGTATCCAGAACTTTCTGAAGAAGGACCGATTGCGGAAAAGAGCGAAATTAGAGTGAACTCTTCCACTCCGTTTGTCGACATAATTAAGCCAAGAACAGAAACCCTTTCTTGATGAAAGATCGGTTGAAAAGAGTAAACTTACTAAACTTTTCTTTCCATAACGGTCCATATTCATTAAAGTCTCGTTGCGTTTTGTATTGTATTAACGATTTTAAGTAGACCGGGCAGCTTTTAGAGAAACGATCATAAGTACAAGTTCCCACTAGTTCAACATCATATTGAAAATCATGTATTAGGGTTGTGGGTAAACTGCGTGGTAGTAGTCGAGGGTTTTGTGAAACGATGCCCTCTCTTTATCAGGCTAAGGCCTAAAACAAAAAAGATGTTGTATTACCCTTTAGGTGCCAAAACATGGGTTGGTCGGTCGGAAATCTTTTTTTTTTTTTTTTTTAATATTTTTTTTTCCTTTTTTTTTTTTACTCCTTCTTTGGGCTGATATTTCTCAGTTTTGAATGCTCTAATACATTTTTTCTTTAAAAAAAAACGGTTAAAAAAAAAAAAAACTTAAAAAAAAAGCCGACCGTAGATTTCAACATTTTGGGGTCGTTTTCCAAGGGCAATTAAAAAAAAAAGCCTTATATGCATGTCCCATTCAAACTAGGATTTAAGCTAACTTGCAAACATGCATGACAATATTCCTTTTTTGTAATGTAACCGAAATGTGATGCATTTGTCCTTGTGAAGTGCCTCTATACAAATTTATTTTAATTTACCTGTTATGAATAATTGTTTTTCAATAGTCTGAATACGTATTCCATACATTAGTTGGTGCTAGGTAGGGAAAATGAATATATATATATATATATATATATATATGTGTGTGTGTGTATGGATTGCCCCACCTAGCAACAACTAATGTATGTTATTCGCATTTAACTTTCGAGATACAGATATTTATAATACTAGTATATGAATGAAAAAATTTGTACCAAGGCACTTGACAAATCTGTTCTGATTTGATTGCCGTTCTTGTAAATATTGCTTTCTCGATTCCTTAGATCATCATCTAAATTGGAGATATGAGGTCAATTTAAATTCAAGTAGAAATTAACTAAAAAGAAGAAAATTGCTTGTTCTTAAAGGTTTGATTTGTCTTTATGAATAAGCCAGTTTACGGTTGCAGTCTGAGCATGAGCAGATAAAGGTCATTAGTACCACAAAGGTAAAACCCACAGAGATGAATTCTGGATATGCGCTCATGAAAGTTATGTATCATTTATGCACCAACGGTACATTCTAAGATAAGCAGGTGGAAGTATTCTTTTCAAGAGGGCAAACAAAAGGTATTCATGAAGCACATCTAGGACTTTGGCAGTTAGTATTCTAAGATGCTCAAAGTGGAACTTCTCCATGTGTAAAAGATCGATCTGTGGATATTTGGGGTCATTTTTACCATGTGCTATCTGTAAACTCCTTTATATAACAAGATCGCACCTCAATGAACAAGAATCAACCTAAGGGGAATTTCAATATCTATAGAGTTCGTTTTTGGATTAGGAATTATCCCGTTTTTATGTTCGAACGTTTGAAAAGGTGATGGACAAGGCCATTGAAATTGCCTCAATTTAATTTTTTTTCTCGAAAGTACTTGCGATCGTGGTATGTGCTAATCTGCAAAGTTTCACCACAAATTTTAAAGGGAAATAAATCCGCGAAGACATTCTTACCTTAATGTTTGGTCTCCAAATATTATTGTTAAAAGCTACTGAAATCCTTACCTTTTGCAGATATTCTCATAGATCTGTGGCAGTTATTGATAACACGATTTTAATGAAGCAGCTAGGCCCCCAATGAAGATTAAATGATCATAACTTTGATTGTTTGTGATTTTATTGATAACAGCAAAACTCTTTATTTCATCATGAACGATTTTAATTAAACTTTCCAGGTAAAATTCGAAGGTTTAAAGATAAACTTTAGTTCTGGTAAAAAAAGAAAATTAATTCTCACAGAATCAAACGAAACTTACACTGAATGTTCAAGGTTACAAATAAATGAAATGTGCCAAACAATTTTGGAAGAAAATGTGTACTGGCTGAGTAATGAGCATAGAAAGATAAGGAAAATCAAGGTAGCACTAGCCCCGACACCATTTGTGTAGTCCCATATGCATCTTTCTGTGTACAGTGCTTGTTACTTTTAAGACTGGGCCAAATATATTGTGATTTTGATGACTCCATAACCTTGCAGTGCACACCAATATAAGTCATGCTACATAATCAACTGTTTCTGATCCATTCCACACCTTTTCTTTCACGATGCAATCGCATTACCAGAACTCACCTTTATCTTTAAGCTTTATCCCCCCCCCCCCTCAGTTTTATTTAGGGTACGCATATGCATGTTCCCTCCTTTTGAAAACACTCCCCTAAGTCCGATGTGTAAAGTCAAAATGGGCCGGATTTTTGTGTAATACGAGCCGGACTTTGGTGCGTGAAAAGTACCCCTTTACCGGACATTTTGGGAACACGCATGGTATCCCTCCGTTCACGGAGTTGGGGGGGGGGGGGGGGGGCTTTATCATCTCTTCATACCTTCTACATTAATCATCATAACATCAATCATACATCTTTGTGTAAAAGACGACTTTTCTCTTGAAAATTAAAGCATTTTTGGTCAGATTACTCTCATTGGTGTTATGCTTTTGATGTTCACTGTTGCCCATATAGTTGGAATCATTTTTCTTACCTCTTTTAATAAAAAAGATTGTGACAATATGTTTTTTTAGGAAACCACCATTCGCTCCGCACAGTAGCGCTTCATTGCGTGTCACACGCATTGGCCTCCATCTTCCTACCCATATATTGACTTTACACAAATGACACAAATGTGTACGTGCTGACGAAAGGGTGGTTTCTAAAACCACGATGTAGCCGTTTCGTCTTGAAACTAAAAAGTGTTTATCTTCTCAGAACTTCATTGATCAATATTTATGAATCTATAGTTGATCAACAAAGTTTTGAGAAGATGAAACCATATTGTCACAATCATGAAGAGAGAAAGGGAAACTTAATAGGCAAGAGGTGTATGATTTCGTTTACCTTCACTTCGGTAGTATATCCGACATTTGCTCCGCCTACATTTGCCCGGGGGCTTTAACAAAAAATGTTGTATTGCCCTTTGCAACCGACCCCAAAATCTTGAAATGTACCGTCGGCTTTCTTTAAAAAAAAAAATTTAAACCGTTTTTTAGAGAAAAAAAAATGTAGTATTAGCATTCAAAACTGAGAAATATCAGCCCAACCTATCAGACCGACCGACCCATGTTTTGGCACCTAAAGGGCAATACAACATCTTTTGTTTAGGCCTAAGGTTAGAGCTGGGGTTTACAACTGAGTTTTAGACAGGTCTGAAATTGATATTGTGCTTTTAGTCAGACATGATGTTGGATCTACTCTTGAAGTCGAGAATAGGCCATTTTCGTAATTGAATCTAATTTAATGCAGAATATTGTTTAAGCGCCTCGTTACAAATTATTTCATTCACCTGTTACAAAAAATTGTATTTCAATAGTCAGAATGCGAATTGCCCACATTCCATGTTACTAGGTACGAAAAGCTATAATGTTTTTCCTACATAGCAACAACTAGTGTATACCAGGCGCGGATCCAGGATTTTCCAATAGGGGGGGCCAGAAATTTGGAAAGTGTGCAGACCATTTTTACAACTCAACATACCAATACTGACAAGGTCATATCAGAAGCACCATACCGGTACAATTTTTGACATTTTCATCGGGGGGGGGGGGGGGAGGGGCTAAAGCCTCTTTCATGACAAAAGTTTTATTAAATTATTAGAGAAAGAAGATGATTCGTTATATTCTCGACTCTAAAATAATCCTTGTCTGAATTCAGTTTTCACCCGCCCGCCCGTAGCGCGTAATTTTCGGACGCTTTATTAAATTATGAGAGAAAGAAGACCATTCGTTGTACTATTCTCGACTCTTAATCCTTGTTTGAATTCAGTCTTTCCCCTTCCCGCGCGAAGCGCGGCAGCTTTGACGTTTCATTAAATTATTAGAGAAAGGAGAGGATTCGTTGTACCATTCTCGAATCTCGATCCTTGTCTGAATTCAGTTCCTCCCCCCCCCTCCCGCGCGAAGCGCGGAAGCTTTAACTTTCCATAGTTTAATGATATTGTTAGAGGAAGAAGATGATTGGTTGTTCCATTCTCGACTGTCCTACTTGTAGCTACCTGCTCCCTCTATATAGAAAACTTCCCCAATCGGTGTCTTTTGTTCCCCCATGATCCTCTTTTTCTTATGTTAAATGAGAGCTGAGTTAATGAGATAGCCACCTGTCACAGTGACCTTGCTGGCTCGCTTGGTGGTCTAACCCCTTCTGGCTGAAGTAGTAAAGCCTGCCTTTAATCCTTCACTGAATTCAGCCCCCTCCCCCTCCCGCGCTAAGCACAGAAGCTTAACGTGTCATTAAATTATTAGAGAAATAAGACGATTCGTTGTACCGTTTTCGGAATTTTCAAAAATATTTCTTTGTCTGCTCCTTTTTTGTCTTATGTCCTCTTACTGCCCCTACCGCCCTTGGCTACACGCCTGCTTTAAAGGGAACATGAAGCAATCATGATTGTGATAGCACACAATTAGGTTAGTAGAAACGAAAGGAAAAAAATATCTATTACACCAACCATGGATAAATCACGGCCGGGAGCGTCATATCATATCATATCATTTAATAGTTTTGTGTTATCGGGCGAGGACCGGGGCGCGACTTTACGTTTTACACTGTAGTTCCGTCATTTTCACGATAAGTGAGTAAAACCGGGCTGCAGCAAAGACTACATGTACAACTGGGCGTTGTGGCGTGCGCCTGTAATCCAAGCTGCGTCACTATGGACATGCGGAAGATAGCTTTGCGCATGCGCCACTACTGTATATTTTTCGGCACGCAGAGATTATTCTTCATTATTATTATTTTATTTCATTCATTTATTTCCTGTATGTCATAACAATTGACATAATGTGAACATCAGATATATGGACTTACAATCAAGAGTCACATATCACCCCACCACCTTCACTCTCACTCCCTTCAAATTTCCTTTCTTGTAATATATTTCCATACTTCTTTCTTTCTTTCTTTCCTTTTTTTTCTTAATTTTTGTATATCACTCAAATAATTTGTTTATTTAATGTTATTTTGTACATATTGCTTTTTTAATGTACTTTCGATTTGCTTGTTTGAATATGTATTATTCAAATGCTGTTATGTAAATTATTCTAATGTATTTGTAATGGACTCCGATACCCACAATGGGTTGTCGATAAGTAAATAAATAAACTTTCAAACTAAACTTTCAAACAGTAAATATGATCAGTTTACGGATA